GAACCAATCAGATTGCAGGATTCGTTACCGTGCCCTCTAAAAAAACAATAATTTTTGATATTTCAACTAATTATACAAGTAATTGAAAATACATCACATCACAAAAGAAGTTCTCTTTTGCACTGTACTTACAGGTTGTCATCGCAAAGTGTTTGCCAGCACTTGCAGGTCTGAGCAGCTTGTAACAAGTCACTGGGTTCTAAAAATGACAGAACATATAATGCAAGTTCTCTTGGCAAAAGAGAGATGAAGTCCCGTTGAAATCTTGGTTCAATGGTACCCATAATGTGTCTAACAACTGTTGGCTCACAATTTTCAATGATCTCATCAAGAGCATATTTCCTTTCCTCAGCTGTCCACTGCAGAAATGTTTGCAACCATTCTTCTAGACCTGCTGGAGGATGGCTGCAAAATGACATGTGCCGACTACGGCTGTCAACTGGACTCATCACAGGTGTGGCTGTCTTGATGGTACCATAGTTTCTATGAGGCAGAAGCTTTAACAGCCTCTTTTGGGCAGGAGAACAGAACTTTTTCTCTGGTGATGATTTCTCACTCTCCTCATTTTCTAGATCATGACTACTGCTCGAGAGTTTTCGTTTTATTGATTCACTTTTTCCCTTGGGTGTTCCATGTCCTTTGCTAGCTGCAGTTGGAGAAGATCTCCTGTTTAATGAGTGCCTACCAGTCTTAGCTTTGGCAGAGCCTCTTGTCTCTCTCCGGTTAAGATTGGGCAGGGGAGAACAACAAAGGGCATCTTTGTGTAGATCAATAAAACAATGTCCTATACCCGGAATGACAAGCAAGTTTTCGATGCTTGAAAACCCGCCTAGAGCAGTTCGGACATCCACGATGCTCTTTGCTATTGTTCTTCCGACTCCATTTAAACCCTCCAATTCCTCCGTCGTCGCGCGATTTATATCCAAGATACGCCTTGGGCCAGCCATTGACGTTCCTGTAGAAGAGGAAAAAGGGTTTCAGATATTTGCTACGCTTTGGTCAGATACAAATTATGTTTCTTGAGTAAGGCGCATATTGCCCAATACACAACAGCCACTTCTCACGAAACCTTATCCTCACGATGTATTTCCACTGGTTTTACTGAGTAAAAGCTAAAAAAAAAAAAAAAAAAAAAAAAGAACCCATAAAAACCTCTAAGACTTCAGTCAAAACAAAGAAACGTAAAAAGACTGCCATCACACAATGATTTATTATAAGCGTGACCGCAACTGAAGAAAACTTGGGATGCCACGACTGGAGAGTGAACCATACAGAAGGCAAGCCGCACTCCATGGTACCTGTTGAGTTTGCGAAACATACGCTTTTCGTCGTTTCGAAGATGGGAAAATATTTTTTGCTGTCATTTAGGGAACAATTCTCAATATTCTACGATGTACGCTCGAGATATAATCCAAAAACATCGGCATATTCCGCCTAAGTCAACAAAAACATCGCCATAGAGAAGCTTCTTGACACGTTTGATAACACGTTTCGTGCTTTCAATACCTGTCGTGGTAGATTAGAAAGCTTTGCGGCGATTTTCTCAGACTTTAGCCGAAATCTTCCTTGGAGAAAATTCGCTGAACGAAGAGTTTTTCATATAAACTGCATGGCAAAACGAGAGGGAAATCCCGTGCACTTAGTCGACCGATCAATCACGCACGAACCTAAACAACGAAGAGGAATACGAAAGGGTACAAAACGACATACTCACCTTTAAAATAGCCCTTCGTCCTGTAAAAACCATCAAACGATTTTAAAAGCTATAAATCGTAAGACATGTTATGTCGGTGGAAGACTGCTTCTCTCCTTCCCAGAAGGCTAGAAGTAGACGAGACGATTCAGACCGTTGCTTACCAAGAACAAAGATGGCGCGTTTCACGTAAGTCGCACGAGGATCTTGGTCTCACAACGTCACACCCTGCGTGGACTGCGCTACACTTCCAAATATGGAGAACAATGTTACCTTGGTATCGAGAGGGAACCATACCTGGGTCCCTTCAAGTTATGGGCTTTTTCTTACTGAGGTACTTTTCGTAGAACGCCTTGTCAAAACGTTGTTTGAAGTTGTATCAGCCATATTTGTTTCCACGATGGCAAATGCGGCTGGGAAAAATGATAATTTCAGAAGAACATGGGACAGAGATGAGTTCGAAAAGAAAGCTAAAGAGCGAGAACAAGAATTAGAGGACGAAGAAGATGAATTGAGTTCAAAGGAGAGACCATCCGTTCCAGTGAAAAGAGAGCTATTGAAGAGAAGAGAATATGATGTCGACCTCGAAGCAAACCTCGGGAAATCAGTGGTTATAACCAAAACGACACCACTCTCCCATACTGGAGGGTATTACTGTAACGTGTGTGACTGTGTAGTAAAAGATTCAGTGAACTTTTTGGATCATATTAATGGAAAAAAACATCAGCGAAATTTGGGTATGTCTATGAAAGTGGAGAGGTCTTCTCTGGACCAAGTGAAGCGACGGTTCGAGGTGAACAAAAGGAAAAGAGAAGAAGAAAAGCAGAAGAAAGATAAAGAATATGATTTGGAAGAGAGGATGGCTGTTTTGCGTGAAGAGGTAAATTAAAGTAAAATCAATCCTAGTTCTCCTGAAATTGTCGCTAAGATCTCAAGGAATATAATAATTAAACAAGGAGCAGGAGAAAGGGAAGATTAAAAAAAATATGAGTCATTACACGTGAAAATTTTATAATTAAAACTCAGCCTGTCCCAGTTTAGGTGTTAGGTAAGTAATTTTGAAAGGATCTTGTGTAGAGATGAAGTAAAAGATCTTTCAATCTCTATGGCAAAGAATTATCATTTGCATTGATATTAAGGTGGGTGATAGAAAAAATTCTGGATCTACTGTTAGGATGGTCCCATATTGTGTCTTTTGTTTATTGTCTCATCTATCTCTTTTTTTCAAAGTTACTTAACATTGTACAATCTACAAGACAAGATACTTGTGACAGTGCTTATTTCCTCTATATGCAGGTTGCCTCACACATGTGTACATGTGTATGTACCTTGTATCTGGCTTAACTCAAAATAGTGTTCTTTGTGGCTCAATTAAGGCTGGTTTTCTCCTATAATGAAGTCAGAGTTGGAGTTTTTTTCAGAAGTGCAGAGGGAAATGATTTAATGAAAGTCAAGCTGACAGCGTCAGAAGATAAATTGTGATGCTACTTATAGTGTAGTCACCTACCATTCAGGGAAAACTGGATTGTTGAAGTCTTAAACCATCGAATGGCCAAAGAAATGGTGTTGTGATTGATTGTTTCTTCCACTTCTGCTTACGACTCCAACAATCTAGTCTTCACTGGAACCTAGGCATATGAGTCATGGGTGGAATTTGAAGAAAATGAAACAGTACTGGTTCCTTTGGCTCTGATTCCATTGAGCTTAGCTTATGATTCTTCTTACGACTCATTTTCTTCTCACAACTTATTTTCACTTGGATGGAGGTCCTCTTATGATTCCACCTATGGCTCCAACTCCATCAATAGTTAAAAACAGCCTTAAATGACGCCCCCATTTGTGAAATGAGGAGGTGTGAAGATGAATCCTGGTCAAGGTCTCAGATTTTTCTTTGTCCCTTATATAGTTACCACTGCTTTCTATGGTATCAAATTTGAAGAATTTTTTTTTCAGGAAGAACTTCGGAAACAACAGAGAAAGGTTGCCCGCAGAGAGAAGAAACAAAGGACAGGAACAGTGGATGATGGAGAAATTGATCCTAATCTGGCAGCCACCATGGGTTTTGCAGGCTTTGGGTCAAGCAAGAAATGATATTATTAACTTGTGACAGTTTTATTAAGTTAAGTCTTTTTTCAGTAAAATAGTGAGTGGAAGAAGCTAGTCAGTATAGAAAATGTGGGTAGGATTCTGAGGAAAAAAAGAATCCTTTTTCTTACTATTCAAGATTGTCCCAGTCCCAACAAAATGAAATCTTAATTCAACTTAAAATCTATTTGCAAAGAAACCAAAGACAGTGGGCACAAATTGTTGTTTGATTGGAATTTTTTTATAACATATAGTTGCCAGAAATGAGTCATTGTTCTTGTTTCCTCAAAGCAATCATTTTATCAACTTGCTCAGACCTGAAAATTGAATGATAACTAGGTCCATTAAGGTCTTGTGTCTTTGCAATAATTAGGTAATTAGGTTTATTTGGTGTGCTTCACCTGATTTTCATATGTTGTTACTGTAAATAGTTTCCATGGTTTCAGTTTCACCAAACTCAAGTTCTTATTTCAATTTATTACTGTAAGCTAATTTTTATGTATTAGAACCCAAAATGGTAGGGGAATTTCTTCTTTTCTACTTGCTCTGCCATATGAAACTCTTTAGCCATACTATGTTTAAATAGCCATGATTATATTCCTGCTGTTAGAGATAAAATCAAAATACTGAACTTGTGGAAATTAAATCATTTTTTTAAAACAGAAACAGTATTTTTCTAGGGAAGGGGCGGTTTGCCTTATGTTTTCAGGAAAAGACTTTTGTGCTTAGATTTTCTGTATTGCAAGGGACCAGTGGGTGCAACTGCTTTTCTTTGCTGTTGCAAATGTATTTTGTTTTACCTAGTTAGGACCCTGTTTGCATGGTAAATGAACAAAGATTCCCAATATGTGGTTATTAAACTTACAGTCACCTGTTCCATTGTGAAGAGAAAACATGATAACTAGTCATAAAGATGGCAACACTTATAAATAATAAAGCCCACCTGCAATAAATGAATGCCAATGTTCACCTGATGAGTCTGCAACATTGGTATAATTGCTACAAAACTTGTAATTGATTATTCAGCATAGTTTTAAGTGATTGTATGGTCTTGTTGATCAACATTGATTGGTTTGACACACAAAATTTACTGAACTCAAGGAAAGCAACTTTCCTCTAGGAGAGCAAAGAGGGCTGCTACATTGCAGTATTTTGATTTTGAGCTTAAGCTGGAATGAACAAGTGGCAACATGGTGGGCCTTTCATTTACTAAGTAACTGGCAACATGGAAGAAGAAAAGCACAAACTCCTTGACCCAGCTATTTTTTACTTTTATTCTACAAGGTTCAAGAGATATTCCCACTTAAGGTGATCATGAAGGTATAATGTAGACAGCAAACGTTTGAATTTGCTTCAAACACTGCTCCTTCCTTTGATTTGAATTCATAATGTACAAGAACTGCCTGATCTGGTTGATACTTAACTTAGTAACAAGGAGGTTTTTTTTTTGCCTTTTGGGCCTTGTGTCACAAATGTAACTCGATTCTCATTTTGGTTTTAAAAAAAATACTTTTCTCTTTTAACTAGCTAATGTTCAACTTCATACTAGCGTTCAGTGAGTTGATTTTATTTAAAGCATTTTGCGAATTCTCTGCTTTAATTTGCGTGGTAGAAACTATGATTGTTATACCACACACCGCTTAACCAGCTACCTAATTTTTCTTTTCCAGTCTCCTCCCGTTTCAAAATGGCGAACAGATTTCACGTGTTTGAGGTTTGAAAGCATCGGAGGTCTCAAAAGGAATAGCGGAAATGTCCGTGGATGCAAGATTGCCCAAGAAAAGGAAAAGAATCTCAGCTTTAGCTGGACTTGAACCAAGGCACATTGTATCACCGGGAGATGTCATAACTGAAGACACAGGATACATGAGGTTAGTTTGAAAAATTATCTTTTTGGTCTGTGATGTAAAGAATGCACAATGAGCACAGGCTGTCAAAACGATATATGGAGTATGAAGAAAAGATGTCAAAAAAATTATTCTCAAAAATAGTCGACAAAGTGTGTTTGGATAGCGCACTTAGTGCGTTGCAGAACACAACTATTGTTACGATAGTTTCCTCCTCTTTCAATGTTACTTTCCATTGCTGTGGATCACAAGTAACAGGGAATAACTATGGGGAGGGGGTGGGTGGGCTGTACAGATTAAGGTAGCAAAGTGGAAAGGCGTGAGAGCGACTCATCATGTGGGTGAAAATGTAGATGGGTTAACAATAGTTAAAACTCTATAACACTGGTCCACTAATTTACATCATATTCTTCAAAGACTGTGGAAAAGATGGTCATCGGTAGTTCCATATTCTTAAGTTGCTCCTCAACACTTTTTGGGTTGTTTATGGTGAGGTGTCGCAACAGCATTTTGAATAAGGATAGAACAGTAAAGAGTGAGGAAGAGAAAAGTGTGACTGTCACCTCAATGTCTATGCTCATGATGGAGCATGATCCACTCCAGGGAACAACAGAGCTCAGTGCTTATTGGCACATTTAGAATACAGTCAAACCTCTACTAATGGATACCTCTGTAACATTAACCTCCTTATATTATAGAGAATTTACTATGTCTTCATTCAATTCTAACATATGTACCTTAAAAAAAAATGTCTCTAATATCACACCTTTCTAACACAAACTATGAATACCAAATCTAGAAATCACATGCTACCATCTTAACCAATCTGGTATAAAAGAAAACCCTATCACATCCTAGCCACATAAGTTTTCACATACTTCTGGCAGTTTGCTTTGTTTAACATTCTTTTTGTGTGTGTGTGTGTGTGTGTGTGTGTGTGTGTGAAAGAGCAATTCACAATTGAGTTTTGTGCAACCAAATCACAGGAATGACAACAGACAGTCACACAAAAGAAAATATGATGAGGAGCCAATGAGAACTCAAACTATTAAAATGAAATGAATTGCTTGATGGCTGGTAAAATATGAGTGATGATTCAGACAGAGTTGATGTTAGTTTCACATTATATTATTTGAGCAAATGGCACAAGTATTCTGGACCAAACAGAGAGTGAAGTAGAACAAACCCAATGCAATCAACACTCAATTGTAAATTGTTCTTTTCCCTTTGTTCTAATTTATCAATGTGATTACTTTGGTTTTTGGTTTGCTTACTTACCCTGTGTACAACTCACCTCCCTTGAGTCTTTTTTTTTTGCATTTGAAACTGGGATGTAATTTCTCTCTGCTGTAGGGGTCATGGTACATATATTGATGGGGAAAAATTGATAGCATCAGTTGCTGGAATAGTTGAAAGAGTCAACAAATTGATATGTGTAAGACCATTTAAGACAAGGTATGTAAAATGTGTGCTTTTTTTTATAAATCTGTTCACTGAAATGTTAATCAGTAATGCACCAGAATCCCATCGAAGGGGACCAAGAATGCCCTCTTTCAAGTCATCTCACAGGAAGTGGGATAAGTTCAGTGGCAGCTCTCTGATCCACTCTCATGTGCAGATTTTACCCTGAAGCAGAAATAGCAATCCAGGTCTCCTCTAGTCTTTGTGATGGATATGGAGGCCAAATGGTCAGTGCCCTGAACTCAGACCTAGATGCATCTTCAAACTCAGGACTTTGTCATTGTTTTGTATTCTTCATTAGGTGTTCATCAGATATTAGAGAATTCTTCAACTATTACACAAAGTTCCTTAGCAGAATTTTGATGGGCTGAATCAGTTTTATTCAGATTTGGAAACTTGTCACACCATTCTCCTGCAACAGCATTTCTCAATGAAAACCCTGCTTGGCTAAGACACTGGAATTTCACAGTATTTGTATCCACACAGAAAGAAGTGGAACCTGGAAAAGCTTTCCTTCTAATGATGGAGGACCTTTACTGGACTAATTCTCTGTCAAAGGATATCTGCAAGTCCTTTGGCTGTTTTGTGCTCCAGAAGCCATCGTAGTCATTGAAAATTACCTTTACCTCCCATAGACCTTCCCATAGTCAGTGCAAATAAGGAGGAATTAAGAGTATGTAATAAAAACACATCAAAATTATATAATTATTGTTGTGTTATTTCAGATACAATGGAGAAGTTGGAGATGTTGTGGTTGGAAGAATTACAGAGGTGAAGAGCAAACTACGTATTCTAAATGACCTAAAAATGAATAAATAACTTTGGATATAATTTGTAAGTTATTGTTACCATTAGCTTGTTATTTCAACCTCTTTGATGTATATTTTAACTCATGTCTTCTACCTAAGCAAAGAATTGCTTCAGTCTGTGTATATGAATGTTGATTGTTTGCATCACTGTGCTTCAAGTTGTAATCATGCCTTGTATGAAAAAGAGGGAGAAAGTTTGCATGGCAGCACTATGTTGTTTTCCATAGTACTGACTGTTTGGAATATATCAACACCTGTGAATAAATTAGTATTTACTTTGTTTCAAGGTTGGACAGAAGAGATGGAAAGTGGAAACTTTTTCCAGACTGGACTCTGTTTTGCTGCTCTCTTCAGTAAATTTACCTGGTGGTGAACTGGTAAAAAAAGCTTGTTGTTTTGTTGTTGCTTTGTTATTGCATATCATTTTGATCCTATTTTTTTTAGCCATGTTTTGCATAACCATACTAAAACTACTAATCTCACAAATTATTCAGAAAAGCTTTTTTCATCCCTGAGAGATAGACAGATAGAAGAAGAGAGACAAATAGAGAGAGAGAGAGAGAGGGAGTAACAGTGCAACATATACCAATATAAAATTCCACAAAAGTTTAACCCTTTACACCTTAACACCAGTATGCATAATCTCCATACTGTTATCTCTAAATTTCCTAAGGTGCTGACAAGGAGAATTTGTTAAACAATCAAGAGCTATTTGAGTTGATGATCATTTCCTTTATTCTTGTGATCTTACATAAATGATTCAGCGGTGTTACTGTAAGGAGAAACTAGATTGTGATCACTCTTAGGATTTAAAGGGTTAACAGAATGAGAAATGCTTGTCATAAGGCTTTAGTTAGTTCTATGTTTCTTTTTTTTATTGCTAACAAAACACATTTTGGGCAGGGAAGGGTGGCATAGGGTTTTGCTTCGTAATATTGGAAAAAAAAAACATGAACTTATTGTGTTGGATGGAACTACTCAAACTTCGGAAATTTAAAATCCCAGCAAACACGTGAGGTACATAGATCTACTTATCGGTGATAGTGTTCTTTCTTGATGAAACATCTAGTTCTCTTCACTAATTTACTTAAGACTTGTTAAGAACATAGAGGGAAGTCTTACTAATGATACGTCGGTATTTAAAGATGCTATGTTTTCCGTGTTTGTAAACAGAGACGACGTTCTGCGGAGGATGAATTGATGATGCGCCACTTTCTTGCCGAGGGTGACCTGATAAGTGTATCCTTTCCAATTTCCTTGCACTCTGGACATTTATCGCTGTTTAGAGCAACGAGATGAATTTGGTTTTGCATGTAATACTTCGCTCTGTGATTGATTAAAAAAACTCTCGCAACCAATCAGCTACAAAACTAACACCAATTACGACTTGGTCACCCGCGGTTTCCCACGCTTTAGGCAGTTTGGTTTTTATTTCTTTTAATTACCATTGTTTCTTAAAGGTTGTTTCCTTTTTACTGATTGGTCTTCGTGATTAATTTAGCTTTACGACACTCAATCGAAAAGCGCTCTACCGTTTACCATTCTTATATTATTGCCTTTGTTCTGGGCTATTTAAGTCACCTAATGCTAGATAATAAATTTAAGTGTTCCCCCTTGACTAAACCAGGCAGAGGTGCAATCGGTATACAGCGATGGTTCTCTTTCTTTACACACGCGCAGTCTCAAGTATGGAAAGGTTGGTTTGGCTGAACATTTTCAAATAGCAAAGCTTTGTTTGCATAATTTTATTATGGTAATCTTAAGTTCTTTAGCCCTAAACGATAGTAGTACTACTGTTTTTATGTGTATTAAGTTGTTTATTGTTTCTCGGCAGCTTAAAGAGGGCACCCTCGTTCAAGTTCCACCTTCGCTGGTTAAAAGGTGCAAAACTCACTTTCTCAACCTTCCTTGTGGTGCCACGGTAATTGTGGGTAACAATGGTTATGTTTGGATATCTCCTTTGGAAAACGAAGATGCCACACCCGCTGACGGCCTGGCCAACAGTCTGGAAAATGACACCAATGCACCAAGACAGGTCAGTAGTGGTGATTGTGTGTAATCGTTTGTCTCACTATGGAGTCACTTTCGATGTAGAGTGCGACTCTTCTACTGCATAATGACAGTCTTCTTCAGGCGATGAGGTGTTCTTTAAACCCGTTTTATTGTTTGTTCAACTTCTCAGCCGAGTTGAATGGCTCGATTTTTGAACCAGACATCACAATTCAGAATTGTGTGGGCAAACTTTCTGGCTTTGTCCTTTTTCGAAGGTATTGTTACACTTTTTAAAAATCCGTCTCATAAGGTCTTCCTAATACCTTGTTTCTAGATCCAGCACTCTGATCGCGAGACGATTGCGCGTCTTCGAAACTGTGTGTTGACATTGACAGACCATGGCGTGATGCTCTTTAACACCTCTCTACAGTATGCTTATGACGCATCATTGAAGTACTTGGTAAGCACTTGGGTTGCTCGTCAATGTGTCGATTTTGTTGTCTTTTGGTTTGTTTGTCCGTTTTGGTTTGTTTGTCTCGTTTAGTTTTAGTTTTAACGCTAGGTACCTTTTGTTTGTTTTTGTCTTTGTTTTGTTCTTTTGGGGTTTTTTTTTTACGTGGGCAACAATCAAGTAAATCACCATTCTAAACTTGGAGAAGGACATAGCCGGGAAGTATAAAAAGCTCTAAAAAACGTTCCTTGAGAGTCGTAGAAATACCGGTCAAAAGAGTGCAGCTGTTTTTTTATTTGACATACCTCCACGTCGTTGCAAGGAACCGCGATTGCATTTACATTTCAAGCTCGCCTATTTTTGTTTTTTCGCTTAGAAACTCTTTACAGTGGCCAATGTGCATTATCAGCTCAGTTGATAAAACCAATTTATTTTGTTATACCCTCCACCGACTCAGCACCACAGTTTCTTTAGAAACTTACCCCCTTTATTAGTTTCGTTTTCGAGAGCAAAGAGATAGAATGTGGACAGACATCATTAGCCGTTAAGCTGCAGTAGTGTAAGTAACTTTTCTGTTTCCTTCTGCCGTTGTCGTGAAGTTTGCGACGTTTAAAAGTTTCAAACATCTTTTCTTGTAATGTTTTCAGGTAAAAGAGCTGCTGAAGCCTGAAATCCGGGAAGAAATAGTCGACAATGTTAGGCAGCTCCTATCACAAGAAATGTAAATAAAAGGGACGTTTCCGTTATCATTGCCTCAAAAGTAACATGTTTTTAGCTATTAAAGAATGACTCTTGAACTTTATTGTATCTCTTTCTGAACGCCTATCCCTAACGCTTATATTGCAGGCTCTCCTGTGTAAAGTAGCCTCTCTTTTGGATGTCACACAACGTTTTCTGAGACAGAGTCGCGTGACATCACAAAGAATGGCTGCGAAGGAGGCTAAACCCTGCCAACTGTAGGGTTTCTTCATTTTAATCGAATTTTAGAATAACAGATGAAATCTTTGCGGACTCAAACAACACCAAGTAAAATGTAACTTTGTTGGATTACCAAATAGAGGACTGAGGCTAATTTGGATGCTAGTATGATTTTCTTGGGTAGTTTCAATTTTTAGCTACCATTTTGAAATAGTTCTATTATACCATGAATCACTGAGTAGAGATTGTAAAGCTTGTGGAATCTCTCCATGCGAGTAGTAACATTTAAACACAATATTCTCCTTATATGAGTAAGGTATCTGTGTCAATTTGGATGTGGTTTTCGTAATATAGAGAAACTGAGTTATATTATGAATTGTGCCCTTTGGACAATTTTGCTAATGCAATATTCAAGTGGCTGTAAACAAGTACTCTCTCTTTACTTAAACTCTTACAATTCAAGCATGATCCTCGTTCACTTGCAACTGAGGTTTGGATTTCACTGGATTAAGTGTTTAAGGTCAACAGGATGTGTAAGGAAAATCTAACATAACTTGAAAAGTTATGACTATAGCAGACTAACGCCCTATTTTCAAATTATGATTATTTTCATTATTGAAGTTTAATTGGATTTGACAAAATCATCGATTCTGCCGACAGTGTTCAAACTCTGTCTATTGTCACCCGCTTTGATCCATTTAAAGGCAATAAAAATAAATTCTACCAGTAAACGTTTGAGTAATATACTTGCTTTCTGTACGGTTTTAGCTCCATGCACCTTTTTCCTTATCAGACGGTTTAAATGCACGAGATTCATGTCGCGCAACTTGCTTGATATCATCGTGCGCAACCGTTATAATAGTTTAATTTAGTATTATCAAATGCGTTGATAACGTAAATTGGCCACCGTAAAGAGTTTAAAAGCTGAAGTTCTGAGCGTTAGCCCTTTGTCAGAGCGATTGATGAAGGGTTAACGCTCGAAACGTCAGCTTTTAAACTCTTTACGGTGGCCAATTTACGTTATCAACGCAGTTGATAATACTTAAGTACCCAGTTATACTCTCTCACCGACGCAGCACCACAGTTTCTTTAGAAACCTACTCCCTTAATTCATTTATGTTATAATGGTTTGTTACGTTTGGCTTCAAAACCAACTAAAAATTTTCTTCCACTGCTGGAAGTAAGAAACTTTTTAAAAATTTTATTTCAAAACGAGAAAAAAAGGACCGAGAAAATTAGGAAGGAACGTACTTGACAGGTTCATGGAACCATCGAAACAAAGAAGTTTTAATTGAAAAGGAAAACAAATGAAGCATGAAAGCACATCATATCAGTCAATCTTAACCTATTTCTAAATAGATTTATAAATAGTAATTGAATTAGACAGGAAATACAATAACATAGTGTATGTTCTATATTCACGTGCGTGTCCACATCGCTACACAACTTCAAGTACCTTCTGCTTTTTCAAGTTGTGTCTCTTGTGTATGTTCCTTGAAAATCTTCCTCGTAAGCTTCAGAAATGCATTCTCTCGATGCCTGTTCTCGGGTTTGTTGTTTACATTTTCTTTGGCTGAATTCCATCTGGTATAAGATCGCTTTGTCATGGCTTCCTCAATAGGCAACCTGCAGTGATTCTGTGCCACTCGAGTTGAAAGCGCCAATAAATTAGATGGAACTGCACCATAGTAGGTTACACGATATCCTCCTGCAGTGTTTCCAGCACTAAATCGGTAAAAAGAACCCTGGTTGGTAAGTGTAAACTACCTAACTTTAACATCAGTGAAACTCAATCGTGATACACCAAATTGTCGACACTCAGGATAAGGTAAAGCCTTTTGTTGTCTGTCAATAGATGTTATATCTTTAAGCTGGCGAGAAATCAATCATACTTAGTACTCGTACATTAAGAAATTGGCAGCCAACTCGTGATAACAACAATGTTATCACAAACTCATCACGATTTTCAAAACAGAGTTGAGGCTGATAACATCTAAGTGATCGCAAAATTACCGCACTGATCCTAATCTTTGGGATGATGAAAGAACTTCTGTATAGCTGAGGAAGCTTTTCTTCCAAGACTTGTTTGTTTCGAGAGCAAGTGATCGTGATCCATTCGGTCATTATTGTGTAAACCATCAGCGAATACATCCTTTATCTATTGTTCAGCTCGTAATGGTCAATTTCACTTTTTTTTCCCCGTGTTACACCACCCGGGGAGAACCTTTTGAGATGATAAAACCCTCAGGAAAGAAACACGCACTTTGCTGAAGGATTGCATCTAAGTTTGTCACAAAATTGGCCGTATTCTTCATTTTCGTCAACGTAAAAAAAGCGTTTGGAAGAAAATTTCGCCATTTTTGATGGCAAGGATGTGTACCGTACACTTCCATATGGTTTACCTCTCAAGTTTGTTTTCTAAGTACTCTGTTTGCTTTACGCCCCAAACCACGCTCGTTTTCATTGTGCACATAATTATAAACAACAATTTGAATGGCTCTATAACGGTTTAAAACTTATAAAGGAGTTAATGAACCTTTATCTACATTTTGATCATGAAGTCAGGGGTAAGCCTGTTTTAAACTGTTCTGCAAGGCAAGAGTCGAGCAGCTTGAGACTAAGGGAGCTTGATAAATTTGAGTCTTTCCTTTTTTTTCCTATTCGTGAAAAGAATGAACGAAAGGAATCGAAAACAAGCCTCACAATAGTTGTTAACATCAACTTACTTTACTTGTAGCAGAAGGGAAGTTAATCTTTCTGTCGAACATTAATGAATTCTGAGAACACCAATCTAATTCAATTATTGTCTGTTCTTGTTGTTGTTTCTTGTTTTTCTAAAGGCTCCCTAAGGCTTTACACGCTTGTTTCAGCGTTTATCGTCAGCCGATTACCATGTGTATTTTATGTTACTATAGTTAAACAGAGACGAAAAGCTGATGTTCATGCATAAACTCTGCGTCTTTGGGCTCAGTTCGAAAGCATGCATTGACGATAAAACATTTGCTACGATCAAAACTTCGAATTCATTCACATCCAGTTCGATGCAGAAGTAATAAAGTAGGATGATTGAATTCAGAGACAGGTTCATATTGTGTTTTTTCGACTTTCATATCATGATCCATTTGGAAATCGCCGTGTAAAGTTTAGTTAAATGGGTCCAGTTCCAATTGTTTTCGTAATAGTCAAGTTCGCTTTTTTCTTTTCCTTTCTTTTGAGACACCCGTTGTGAGGAGAGTATATTTAAGAGAAAAACACGCTCTGGTGGTCAAATTCGATCACACCGTGAACTGGGACGTCAGTGTTGCTAACATAGCTAAACTAAAAAGAAAGAATAACAGAAAAAATTGTGAATTAAGATTCTAAAGATTAATGGTTTTCTTTGAAATTAAAGCACCTTCTTAGTTTCCAGTCGGGTTGTTGTTTTTTTTTTTTTTACTTTTGGCGGTCTGACCACGCTACTGTTCGATTTGCATAATTTTAATTCACTAGTTTGAATAACTGTACATCTTGCCCATAGATCAAACGTACTTTCAAGTGTAAGTGACTAGTGCGTGCAATGATTCACCTTGTAAAACTGCCAGGATATTAATTATGATTCAAAGAATAAATGGAAGAAACAAAATTGAACACGAGATGACCGGGACAACCTTAAATAATGAATCTGGTTTAACACACGATCAAGAGTTACCAATTGTTGTAAACGGCACAACAATCGCATATTTGCTAATTTCATCAGTTAAAGTTAATAATTTGGTTGTAGATAAAACGGTTATCGCACGCATTTTGTTTGCTTATGATGTTTTTATTTGTTCCATCCTCAGTTTCTTATTAAAAATGTGTTTGTTCCCACGCATTTAGCTCCAGACTAAGGTAAATACTCATTACGTTTTAATTCAAACAGAAATATAAAGATATGATTGAATTTTTCCCTTCATAGAAACAAGTTCATGTCAAACCGTTTCTTGTATTTGTACACAGTAGATTACATTTTTTTTCTTATTGCACGCGATATCTCGAAATCTGACTCTTTGAAAAATTCATTGCAGTTTGTTTTCCATCCTTACGCTTTGTATATTTGTCTTAAGTTTAAAGGGTATTACATGTCTTCTCAATTAATGATTAAATGCGAAATAAATTTTTTTCTACGTTGATAAATAAGGAAACCTTCTTAAGAAGGTTATTTGTAATAAACGGATGGAGGTAATTCACGTACAGAAACAAATTGTGATAAAGGGTAAAACCTCTCCAAAATCCAGAGGAAATACAGTTTTTGTGATGCTAAACCGAGCATGTACGTGAAAGAGTAGCACACGGCATTTTAATTATGTTTGATCGTTTCGAATGACTCCTATTTGTTCGGAGTTCAATCTTCTTCAAGGCATAAGCATAACAGGCTAAATAAATGTTGAATTAATTCACGAAATTTTCACCTACTTTATATATGTAAAATTTTTGCATCATAAACGGTATTCCTTGTTAGTCTTCTCTCATAAAAGAGAGAAATCGTTTCCTTGTCTAGGCTCTTGTTCACCCATGGGGTGAAGAAAGCGCTTATAAGCTCTACTTTCGTTTGATGAGGAAGAATGGAAACTCCATGGTTAAAAGCGCTCTGCAACCAGTGGTAGCTTTCCCGTTGTAGTCACTAAGTTAAGGCTGTCTGTTGGATAGTGTCCATGGATTAAAATTTGTGCGAGATGATGCACTGCCTCTCTTCAACACTTTTGTACAAAAACGACAAAAGCAAAACTATGAGTTAATCGTTTGGAAGTAAACGCAAATGCTGTTCTATTAGGCAATTGTTTCTGCGCTTGTTAAGAATGGTGCAGCACGTGTGTCGAGTGAGTCGTTAACATAGCGGTTTATGTTCGTGTTAAATAATTTAGGTATGTTTCGTGTTGGAAAGACACGAGCCTCCTTTCTTCTCTATAATTGACCGTGACTAATTGTCAGACAGTTCTAACGAAGAGAAATACACTCCAGTTTTGATTGTGCCTAGTTGCTATTAGTTATTCAAAGCGTCTTTCTTTAACCCAAGAGAAAGATTAAGTACATTTCCTGCGCTAGGAAGAAACAAAGGTGTACATTATCCGCTTCGTTCGTAAATAAAACTGAGAGAGCAAATCCGATAGTCGCCCCAATTACAAGGCACTGCACTTGATTTAACGGAGCCAAAAAAAAATCGTTTGGTTTGAAAGTAATGATTTGATTTAATTTTACTCATTCCATACGGACAGGGTTATGATAAATTAAATAGCATCTTCGGTTTCTTTTTTTTTAATTATCTCTTTTTTTTTTCACCGACGCCAAACATTGTAACTGTTGCTAATATACAAATGGGATCCGGAGCGGAAGCCGCTCGCTCTAAATTATATCTGAAAACAAATTGAGAGCGTTGTGATCGATAAAATTGCATGCTTACTGAAAAAAAAAAAAAAAACTCTTTTAGCGGCTTTTTTGTTTCATCACTTGAATCTTCAAGAGTATTTTATTGTACTTTAGTATCGAAGATTTTGTGAGACATAAAACAATAACACAGATCACAAAGGTTTTTCGCTTAGCTGTGTTTCTTTTTTCGAAATTCTTTATCTACATAGCCATAAAATGCGTATTACAACTGCCTTTAGCATTAAACATCCAGTTCAGATTGTTTTGAGTTAGATGGCATTGTCGAAGTATAACTTTTTTTAAAAGGTACTTTCTTATAGAACTCGTCCCCTTTGATTCAATTTGCTTCCTATTTTA